AGAACTGAAATCAACCCCCCCCCCCCCTTTTTTTTAAAAAATAGTATGTTCAGGTAGTTTTTTGTATACCCAGTATACCCAAACTTAATTGCTTTTTTAAATCAATTAAACCGAGCTCTAAGAGTTTTCCTCAACCCATAAATAAACTTCATCAATTAGGAAACTTTCTCAAGAAAAACATCAACACCTAGGGGAAGTATATAAACCTCTTCTTTCTAGTCATAATAAAGTTGCAATCTTCACATCCGATTGATATAATTGTAGTTAGGACATATGAGATGCAACTACTAACAACACTCTAATAGAATTCATTTTAACAACAAGAGCAAAAGTCTTTGTATAATCAATGTCATAGTGTTGAATATAATCCTTGACTTCCCATTTGACTTTATATCTATAAATGGATCTTTAGATATATACTTCACTATAAAAGCCCATCTATATCCAACCAAATCTTTCCCCCTAGCCAAATCCACCAGTTCCTAAAGCTCAGTTTGAAAAGAGTACAAATTCAATATGTACAATGCAAATACATACAAAATATAAGGTTTTGCATTCTACATATTTGCATTTGTACTCCTTCCAAACTAAGCCTAAGTTTCACTTTCTACAAGGGTCTCTCCATTTAATTATATTTATGCCTTCCGCTCTAGCTTAAATAAATCGTCTGAAACATTTTTCAGTATAAAAATAATAGAAATGGTGGCAAAAAAGTTTTATGGGAGGAAGATAAATGAGAAAAAGGAAACATACTTCAAAATAGGATGTAGAGTACATTTCCTAACTCCTTTTCTCTAGGCAAGAGGTAAATCTAGGTCATCAATTGCAAAAGGTTGAACAACAATTGGGGAGACTCACTAAAGGGAGCAATTGGTAAGGAATTACTTGAATCTGGATCCACACGAAGTGATTATTGGTGAGCTCTCACCAATTGCTAGTACATCTTTTTCCTATCCAACCACCTTGAGTAATTTTGTAGAGGAGAAAGTAACGGGAATATCATATATTCTCACCCTAAAGAGAGAGAGGAGCAAAATAAAAAAAAAAAAAAAAGAGTTTCAAAAAAATTAAAAAGGAGTGAAATTCCACCAAATACAAGATCACAACACTTGCACCCGATTTAACTAGAAGAATTTCCCAAGAAAATACACTTAGGCCCAGTTTGGTTAGTGGGAATAGGAGTCTGGAATCAGATTCTGATTCTAACTGTTTGGCTGATCAGAATCAGAATCAGAATCCTTAACTATTCCTGTTGGAATGGTATTCCTCCATTCGAGGAAATGACCATTCCCTGCCACTCCCTTAGGAATGAAATCACATTCCTATCTGAACCAAATACTCAAATAGATTYTTGTTCCTGTCTGAACCAAACAAACTATGGGAATAAACCATTCTGGTTTCGATTCCGAAGGATTCTGATTTCGATTTCGTTATGAACCAAWCGGACCCTTAGTCGTTTGGTTAGGGTCTAATTTCGATTTCGATTTCAATTATGGGAATAAACCATTCCGATTTCGATTAGGGTCCGTTTGGTTTGTAATTGGAATCGGAATCAGAATCGAAATCCTCTGGAATGAGAATCAGAATGGTCCATTCCCATAATCTATTTGGTTCAGACAGGAATGGAAATGAGAATTAAAATCAACAGGAATGGGATTTCATTCCCAAAGAAGGGGCAAGGAATGACCATTCATTCAAATGGGATAATGCCATTCCAGTAGTTATAGAAATGGAATTCCAATTTCATCCAACCAATTAAACAATTGGAATCGGAATAGCCCATTTCGATTCCGATTCCAAACCCCAATTCCAGCAAACCAAACGGACCTTTAACTTATTTTGGATCAAGTTCAGACTCGTATTGATATATAACATGAATGAAACTAATGCAACGAGGGGAGATGGAAACCGCAAAACATGAAAGTAGCAAAACACGAGGGGAGATCGTAAAACCGATGAGTCTATTCATGAGTTAAGTAGCAACCAACACAACTTCACCCCAAAACCGATGAGTCTATTCATGCTACACAAAAACCCATGAGTCATTTAAATATGTCTGTTTTTCTTTTAGTCATGCAATTCTATATATTGATGAGAAGATTGAGTATAATAATACGAGCTTTAATGAATCACTCCTTTTTTTTCTACTAACAATAGAATACACCTCATCAAGTAAAGGAATATCACTTCTTCCTCGCAACTGCATTTTGATAATCTCATATTCTGAATTTAGTCATGATAAAAACTCAAACATACAATCCTGATTACCCTAGAGTAATCCAATTTCTCCAATGGATTTCCTATAATCCAATTCCTCATACAACACTTGGATTCCCTATAATCCAATTCCTGCCTAATTAAGCTAGAAAATCTTCGCTTCATTATTCATTTGTGAATATATTTTACTATTTCTCAAATTTGTGCAACAGTCCAATGAATCATAAGCCCACAACTACTTTGGGGAGCCATGGATTTCTGTATTGAAGACATGATAATCAAGTTTTCTAGTTCCAACCAAGGTTTAAAGTATCGTTATGTATCAGCCCCTATCGACCGATATGTATCATTTCGGGACTCTTTTGATATGCTTCTACAGTGGGTGTATCGGGGGTTTGACCGGTTCAGGAGATGGAGGGGTCCTAGACCGGCTCCCCTAAAGCAGTTTTGAAAAAAAAATTAAAAAAAAAGTAAAAAAACAAGTATCAAAATGCCCGATACGCCCCTACCGACGTATCTGGCATATCAATATTTTGAACCTTAATTCCAACACCTCCAACCACCAACTGGCCTTCTTGTCTTCCTAGTCAAGTAGTCTAATTTGCTCCTGCAACCAATATAAACTTTTTTAGACTGAGATATTAATTCTAGAAATTAGTTCCATGTAGTAATTTGAAGGTTGTTTTGACTTCCAAGACTAGCTTGCTACAAGTCATACTAGAAGTTGAGGTGCTCGTAGACTTAGATGAAGCAAAATCTTGTCATTTCCGATCATAAAAAATGGTTCAGACCCGGGAAATAATGCCTTCCTATAGCAAAATCTTAGGTGGGTAAATAACTTTCCCACTTAGGGGGAAAGTTGCTAAAACTTGAATGGGACAAAAATGTCCCTTTTAATAATGGATTTKTATGACTAAAATGGTCATTACTTTATTTATCTAGGAAATAAAAGAACATAGGTAAATGTACTTACCCGAGTAAGTATTTTTCAGAAAAAACTTATCCAAGTAATTACATTTACCCATAAGTAATTTACCGAAAAGCGAACGAGGCCTAAATACTCTCAAATTTTTAGAGAAAAATGGGAAATATTAAATTAAACCCTACAACCCAGCTCTCCTAATCATGCTTAAAAACTCCTTAAGTCATTCTTGATTAAGGGGAAAGCCCCTACACATACCATCAGCCGAATCTCCTTTGGCCCTATTATGAATTGAGATGAAGAATAGTCAATTAAGCTCGAGCCATAGAGAAGATCAGTAGGCTCTTAACCAGCTTTAATACTATCTGAACCAATAACAGACTTTGATTTAATGGTATTTAGAGAAGGTTCTATCAGTAAAACGAGAGAACAGAAGAGAAGAAGACAAAGTGAAAAAGGAAAGAGAGTAGAAGAAGAAAAGAGGATGTCAAATAGGATTGGTTACCAATGAGATCGGTCCAGCCTAGCTTATATACATTCTCAATTAAATCAGTGATTAATTATAAAAAACAAACTTACATAAGAAATATAGAACAGCAGTTTTATATTGTAACTTGTAAGTGCTTCTACACTTTATGACCTGAATGTGAGACCAAAGTTAAGATGTCTATTCATTACTATATAATGTTAATAATTGCTTAGGTTTTAGTAGTGGTCATAAAATTTAAATCAAAGTATCAAATTATCATATCATAAAAGGTTAATACTTTTCTTTTTGCCATTTTATCTTTGATTGCACATATGCATGGGTCCCATTGTTTAGATAGAATAGGTTGTTAATTACAAAAGAAAAAATAAATAAACCTGCTTTAAATTTTTAAATCAAATAAGGAATTCAAATTAGATTCTAAAGATGAATACTATGCGACTGTTTTGCATCGTTGCCATTTTTTGGAGCAACGACGCCACATCAGCGTCACGTAGGAAAAAATGGTGTTTCAAGAAATAGTCATTTGTTTGGAATCGTTTTTTTCATAAAAACAGTGCTCCAAGCTATGCTTTGGAAGTTGGGAAGGCATGGCTTGGAGCAACGTCAAATTTGGTGTTTCCTAGAGCTGCAGCTTGTTGTTGCCAACAGCAGTGATGCGGCAGTGAATAATAGGTAGAAGTGAAGAAAACATTTCTTGGAGCATTGGTACCAAATAAAAAAAAGTTGTTATTGTTCCAGGAAACGTCCTATCTGACAGCAACGATTCCCAACAGAAAAAAAGTTTCCAACCCACACATCAGCAGAACTGTTTTCTTGATGCCAAACATATACTATATCTCAAACAAAATGATATATTTGTTGTTTCCCCCGAACATTTGTATCCTTTTTCCTTTTCTATTTTCCTCCTCCTCTTGCATTATGGGTGGGCATGAATCAAACTTTTCATGACTGAGCTTTGAGTTTGAACAAAATCAAAATGAGATTTTAGTCAAGCTGAATTTGAGTTTAATTCTCTAGCTTGAATTAAGTTGTAACTTGAGTTCGAACCTCATAATTTTTTTGGTGAACTGAGACCAAATAATCAAATATTCGATTCAGTTCAGCTCGAATCAACTACTATGTTACAACTTGCACACAATAATTTTAAAATTTAAAAAATACGGCTCTGTTTTTTTTTTTTTTTTGCCCACAATCCAACTACTATTCTGGAATTTTATATTTTCAAACTGTCATAATTGCCCATCCCAACAAAATTAATTTTAATTCAACTATCAAATAATCCAAAAATAAAACTCATTTTAATTTATATTGACCCACCTATCTTGTTTCTCAATGCAAAATGCTCGCAGGTCGTCTCGTGGATGGGGCATAATGGGACCATTTCATGATGGAAAATATCTTCGCCAAATCGTCAACGAGAAACTCGGAAGCAAATTACTGGAAGATACAGTGGCAAACCTCGTAATTCCAACCTTTGATATAAAAAATCTCCAACCAGTCATCTTCTCGACATATGAGGTCTTTGTCACCATCTCACTACGTAGAATTATACTACGCTGTGGTAAAAAAATGGAATCTTAATTTCAATTTAAAAATTTGACGCAATTATATTGCAGGCTTCGGTTTAGCTCTCCATACTTTAAAATTTGACGCAATTATTGTTTTTCTTTTTGTTTTTACTAAAATTATCTTTTTGTTGTAATTTTTTTTTTGTAATTTTCAGTTTTTATAATTTTCTGTGTTTTTTTTTTTTTATATTTCCTCTTTTTCATCAGTTTTTTTGTTATATTTTGTCAATATCCTAAAAACTAGTCTCATAACATGATATTAGGGCAATTCAAAGTTTTAAAAATGTTTAAACATGTTGACATGAGAATATTTTCTAAGTGAATTGTCAAAATACTAATGGCGAGGGCAAAATGCTAGAATCTAAAAGTTCAAGGTGAGTCTTTGATGCAAATGAAAGTTTTGGAAGTTAAAAAAAAAAAAATAAAGTACAAGGTACTAGTCTTACCTCACTTATTGGGCATTATAAGACTACAACAGAGGTAGCCCATACCCATAGCCCTCCAACCAAGGTTCAAAGTATCAATACAATACGCATATTGGCAGTATCGTATCGATACTTAAAAATGCTCGAAACTCTTTTTTTTAGTTATTTTTCAAATTTTGATTTATTAAAAAATTAAAAACAGGTTTTTTATTATTAAAATAATTGAGATTTCGAAACACCTGAAAACAGATGTTTTGGAGCATATACCATGCCTCCAACGCAAGTGAAAGTAGAAATCAATCCCCAAGTCTCACCTAAGACCAGCTAGAGACATTAACAAATGAGTGAATACCTTGTAGACACAAAAGTTAAGGGTAGATGCCCATTTTTTTGTTAAATTCCTTCATTTGGTCCAAGAATAGGTTGCCTTAAGAAGGATTTCTTGCCTTCAATAAGTATGTTTACAGCCTGATATAGGTCCCCTTGGTGGGGTGCAAGATGTCAGCATATTTATTTAATGCTTATTTAGTGTGTTCACCCAATGTGCCTAGAAGATCCAGACTCATTTGGAAGAGTTAAGGTGGTATTTGATACAATGTTCGATACCCATTTCATTTGGTTCCAAAGTGCATCATGGCAAATATGCATTTTTAAGCTACAGCATGTTACAAAAAAAGCTAAAGGCTCGTTCCTATTTATTGAAGTTTGACATTAATAATTACTTTTAAAGGTGGATTAAGCTAAAGGCTTGTTCGTATTTATTGAAATTTGACATCTGAAACTGTAATAATTATTTTTAGAAATACATTAGAGATGATGAAATTTCTGGTTGAGTCGAGATTAGAATGGCATTTTTGTTCGTTTTCTGTTTGTAATATTGCCAACGTATTTGCTGTTCGTTTTCTAATCTGGGAACTTTTGGGGAAGGGGACATGGTGGTTCAAGTTATGAAAGCAGGTCAGCGAATCTCTGTTGGAGGGTCAGGGTTTAAAGGAAGGGAAACCTTCCTTCGCAGCCTCGCAGGTGCTTGGTTGGAGAGTTTAAAGGTGTTCAGCCCCCTGTTCAGAAATATAGAGATGGGTTTCCAAAGTCCAAACTGTGGAACATCGAGATGGAGGTCGTGGTTAAGCTCTTGGTGTGTGTGGGGGTGGGGGGGGGGGGGGTATTCTTAAAGTGCAATCATACAACTATTTATTTTCCAATGATACCCCCAAAAAGTTAAACAAAAACTCTCATATATAGGGTCAAAATAGATATTTGATAGTTTTCAGAATTCAGAGTTCAAAATTCAGAACAACATTCTCTGCATTCAGAGTTCAGAGGAAAGAAAAGTTCACCAATACCAATATACCTCTTAATGTAATTATTACACTTTCAAATGTCAAACTTCAGAGCAAACGAACAGGCATGGTTGAAATGGGTCGAGATGTAGTAGGCACGTTAGGTAAGCATAATGAGTGAGCATGTAATAGCTGTGTGACACATGTCCTAGTTAATGCACCTTTCATCCAAATGTTTTTGCTCCGTTAGACAGAAATTATCCATTATTTTATTATCTTTGTCAAAATAATTAAAAATAAAAAACAACGAAAAAGAAACACGTAAATGAGTCCCAACTCCCAACATGTTTAGGTTTTCCTTTTTCATTATTTTTATTTTTAATTATTTTGATAAAGATAGTTAAATAATGGATAATATCGGTCTAACGGAGCAAAAACGTTTGGATGAAAGGCGTATAACTAGGACATGTGCCACACAGTTATTACATGCTCACTCATTGTGCTTACCTAACGTGCCTACTACATCCGGACCCGGTTGAAGTGGAGCCGGAGCAAGTTTCGTTAGAAATTGTCGAGGTTGCGATTGTATAAGAAAGGACGATGTCGCACGGGACCTTAACTCCAGAGATGGCTGTGACCGGAGGAGGTACAAGTAGTGGTAGAAATTGGGCGGATTAGGTTGGGTTTGGTTTGGATTGAGCTTCAATTCAACCCATTTAACCCGCCAACCCATTAATGACCCAGTTATATAAAATTAAATGGGTTGGGTTCAACCCAAACCCGCTTTAACCTAATCCAACCCATCCAAACCCATTAATCTTATATTTATGTACTTAAAAAATAAACTAACTCTTTCTTAACAAGTAAATTGGTCATAGCTCGGTGGTAATAGTAGATGCTATTTAAATAAGTGGTGAAGGTTTAAATCATATTACATGCATGTTATTTTTACACAAGTGACGAAGCCATTTGACTAGGTTAAGATTTTGGGTTTGACCGAACCACTTAGGTTCAAACCGGTCAAACCAACTTGAACTATCAAATTTGATTATCTTCAAGCTAATCACGTCAAGGGTTGTTGAACCATTTAGATCTGGATCAGTCCCATCGGACCAGACCAGATCGGTTCAGTCAATGGTAGATTGACTTGGACCAGCCCATATCGAGTTTGTGCCTGGGTTTGGGATCCAAAAGGGGGTCAAGAGACGTAAATCGGACTAGTTTGGATTCAGGACGGGTTGTGCGAATATTGGTCGGACCGGGTGGTCCAAACTGGGTAATGCAAGTGGGTGTCGAACCATCCCACCCTGATCCGTTTCGGATTCGGGTCGACCCAGATTGACTTGTGTTGGGTCAATCCAAACAAACCGGATTAAGTTGAGCTAGTCCAGACTCGGGTCTAGTTGATTTGGATTTATGTCAAATTCGGTGAAGTGTGTTGATTCAAGACAAAAGCTAAATTTAGTCAATAATTAATAGAAAATTAATACATTAATTATAAATTATTTCATTCAAATGAAGAAAATTAAAAAAAAAAAAGGCTAAGGTATTAATACTTATATCTGTAATGGTTAACCCAATGGTTATCCATAACCCAATCCATTTAAATGGATGGGTTGGGTGATCAACCCATTTCCAACCCGCCAAGTAAATGGACAGGTTGGGTAGGTTCAGCGGGTTGGGTGAAAAATTGCCACCCCTAGGTACAAGGACGGAACAAGTCTCAGACGCCAAGGATGCTTCCATTTGATGAGGGATAGGCAGGGTAGAGGTAGAGGGGGTTTGGGATTGAATGTTTCTTGCAAGAGGTTGGTGGTGGTAGAGGTCCTTGCAGTTGTACCATTGCCGTAAAGAACATTGGGAACTAAGGGTCCGTTTGGTTCATGATTGGAATTAGAATCGGAATCAGAATGGGAATCCCTTGGAATTGAAATCGGAATGGTCTATTCCCCCTACATGTTTGGTTCAGATAGGAATCAGAATTGGATTTTGATTGATGCTATTTGGTTGATTAAGAGGCTGGAATCGTTTTGCGTGTCAAATACAATGAGTACACATTAGGTGGTGAGCAATCTTGATTTTTGAGGAATTCGTAGGTGGGACAAACAAAGGAGAATGCAGAAAAAAAAAAAAACACTCAAAACCGCGTTGACATAAGCAAAAATAGCAATCACATTCTCAAATCCATGGCATCGTGATCACATTTCCAAAAATAGCGTTGATGGCGTCTGTCAACTGCATTCAAACTTCCCAAACCTGCCCCGGGATCACATTCCCAAACTGCATTGGCATAAGTTTGAACTTCGAACTCCCAAGATCTCAGCCTCTATTATGTAATCAAAGGAATGTGATTCCCATTCTGGGGGAGGGGGATGGGAATGGCCATTCCATCATGGGGGGAATGGCATTCCACCTACTCATTCCCATTCTGGTCAATCAAACATCCGGAAACGAAATGACCTATTCCAATTCCGATTCCAAGGTTCTATTCTCTCAAACCAAACAGACCCTAAAATGGTTCAAATCTACTTTGGAGGTGGAATTGGCTGGGGCAATTCACCATCCTTTCGTGTTTGGGGAGCACGGTTTACTTTGCAGTGAGGGAGTCGGATCTGTGTTTTTACCTATGGGCTAGGAGCTGGTGCTTGGACTTTGGTTCTGACCTCAACTATTTGGGAGTGTTTGAAAGCCCAACTAGAGTCCATTTAAATTTGGTTAGAAAGCGAAAGTATATGATTTTGGCGAAGGAGTTTGCAAGAGAATCAGATTAAAGATTTGGTACAAGAAGTACTCGGCCACGGGGTAGTACGGCCTGATTTATACCTCTATACACATTTGAGTAAAGAAATAAGTGTAGAAGAGGAGGTAGTGAAACCACCCCCGCTGAACCGGGTGAAAAACATCTGGACTTGGATCCTACGAGGGACACTACAAACTAAAAATGTTTTTGTAGAAAAATGTGGAGAATGGTCTTCAAAGTGGCTAAGTTGTTGGGTTCTTTTTGCGTGGCGAAGATTTTTCAAGAGAAGCTTTTAGAGGGAGGAGATGGAGTCTAAAACTCTAGAGGACAGATCTCTCTTCGGGGACAAGAATATGAGTTTGAGCAGGATAGTAGTGTTTCTCTTGATAAAGTTGATGAGGGGTTCAATTTTGTGGGTTGGAAAAGTGAGTAGGAAATCTGGGTTCCAATTTTTGAGAGCCTTCCGGGAATAGGAAGAAAGGAGGGAGAGGTAGAACTACTGCGTACACAAGCTATTCTTTGTTTGGGCTTTTTGTGTTATGGCTGGTTGGTCGGTGTCATTTATTTTGGTAGTGTATTTTTGTGATGGACCATTGTTAGAGATGGTTTGCATGAAGGAATTGGTTTGGTGGGTTGGGTTGGATAGTTGTTGTTGTCCCTTGTTTGTTTTAGGGTTGTTTCTAATGGGAACCCATGTGATGTATAGGCTTTATTAAAAAGAAAAAAAATTGATCGATTTTATATACTAGCCTAATATAATTTATTATATATTATTAATATTTTTTAAATAATTAAATTGTTATCATTAGATGTCATGGGCCCAATGTCTGGCCCCATCCTGGTCCATGATTCCTTAAATCGTCTTTCATTAGGCAGAAAAATGCTTTATCATTGGCCTTGGCTTGTAATATAGGCTTGGGGTGCAAGCCCAGCCTGGGCCTTAGCTTAGGTGAAAAGCTGGGCTTACAAGCTTTCCATGCCTAATGTTGGATTGGGGTGCAACCCAAAGTCAAAGGCTTTAGTGCTTTACCATTGGTGTTAAACCCAGCTTAGCCCATGATGACCACTAGCGAGAGGACTTCTCCCCTCCCTTGTTTCCTCTTTCTAAAGCTTCGCCCATATTCACCCTTATAAATTAGAAGATTCAATCTAATTTAATTGGTACTCATGTAATGCGTAGGCTTTGTTAAGAGGAATTAAAACAAGAGGAGCCCATATGAAATTAAAGAAGGAACGTTATGATTTGGGGTGATCATTTTCAGCTCGTCCTGGCCCAGCCCAGATATTTTGGGATTGGGCCAAGGTATTTTATACTCCCTGTATTGTTAATTATAATGTATCTCTTTATATAAACTATGGAAGTTTGCATTTCTAATGTGTTTATGACATTCATAATTAATTTTTTGAGAGTAGTTAACGAGATCTTTTATTGAGAAAATATAGAATAAAGGTGTACAATGAAGGATAATTATTTCAATCGATATATTTGTGGGATTTCTTAGAGTTCCCTAATGAACTTAATGTACACATTTTTTTCCATTGTATCCATATGTCCCCAAAGTGTATCGTGATACGTATTTGTATCCAAGCTCACCCATGTGATACATGATACTAATACTTTGAAATTTGGTTGTAAAGACAATATGTTTAAATACACCTCAAATTTTATCCCCAACATGGTTCAGATCAGCCATAAAATTCCTTTACATTCACATTCAGATCACATACTAGGATTGTGTAGCTTCAATTTACAACTACATAGAGTCCAAAGTCTTCCTGCAATTAGAGTTTAGATAAGTTTTTGCTTTTGAGTTAGACACTAACACTTTTATGTCCCAAAGCTCAAAGCCTAAAATTGGGGATTTTTGTTTTAGGTCATTAAAAGCTAAAATTTTGAAGTTTATCGAAATTTCATAAACAATTTGACTTAGTGTGTGTTATATTTATTGCTTAGGGGGCATTCTTTTTCTGGGCATCACTTAACGGAAAAGTTAATAATTTTTCCATCTTAACGGAAAAGTTAAAATGGGACAAAAATAAAACAACATGCATTTACCTGAATAAATAATTTACCAAATGCCTTAAAAACAAAATAAAGTATCATTTTCTGCATCGGGACCTCTGCAGCACCAATTTACCTGCCTGCCCATGGCTTTAAAATCAAGAGTTCCCAAGGGAAAGAAACTGAATTCAACCTCATCGATGGTTGTGTATTTGCTAATAATCCGGTATGAATTTGTTTCCACCTTAGTACTAGCTAGGGATGTTGAACAAGATCAAAAACTCGTGAAATTTCTGAAAATTGTTTTTCAGGCTAGGATTGCCATCAGTGAAGTATATAAAGAACTTCTAGCAGATGAAGGAGATAACGATAGGATTATGGACTTTTCGAGCTTCCGTAACTTCGATAATCTTTTGCTTCTTTCTTTGGGAACTGGTACACCGAGGAACGAAAGGAATTACAACGCAGAACAAGTATCGAAGTGGAGCACTTTAACTTGGGCATTCAACTTTAGTAATTTCTCAAGTCCAATAGTAGATGTGATTAGTCAAGCGAGTGCAGACATGGTTGATTATCAACTCTCCGACATTTTTCAAGGCTACAAAGCTAACCAATGACGAAGCACTACGAATGTATGAACAGACTCCTACAAAATCCCCCTGTAAACTATCCGGCTAACGTATATAGATTAACTTTTGCTCTTTGCTTTTGTATCCACGTCTGCAGATTTGCAAGAAAGCTTATAACTGCACGGAACTCTCGTCAGAAGAAACCGGAAAATATGGAAGTAAATGGAGGCGAGATGAAGAAAATGAATCCAGTAGCACGTTTGTAACAAGTAAGCACTTGAGCATCAAGTCTACCAGCTGTTCGGGTTAGCCAACCTTGGATTGCCTCATCAAGTCTACAATGCATGCCCATTTTTCAAAAATCGCCTAAACCAAACAATCATGTAGGCGGTGAAAAGTGGAATCACCTACATGGATCCGACATGGCACCGTTTTTCATAAAAACGCCCATAATACCAAACATCCTCTGGGTTAGTTTTGCACCGACAAATTTACCTTCTTACCAGACAAACTTTTAGCTGTAATGGATGCAAACATGAATTCTAATAAAGCATGTCTTTTTTTTTTTTATCAAAAGTCCACTTGAATGCAAATTTACTTCTTTTCTATTGATGTACTTTTACATCTTATTATTAATGTATGCATTGGAAAATATGTTTTTCGTCATTTGTCAATGCATAAATGAAATGTTGCCAAACTCAGGCTAGGCAAAAGTGAACCAAAGTGCAAATTTACCCTGAACCGGGATTTACACTCCATTTGCATTGTTTCCAAATGCAGCCTAAAGAGTAAAAGTAAAATTCATTAGAAAGGGACAAAAGAAGAATGAAAAGAATACATTAGGGCTCTCGAGCGTTCTGCCCGTCAACAAATGTTCCCCATCAGTTCCTTCCATCTCAGTAGAACTCCACTAACGTTCCCCACCTATTCCTTCCCCATCTTAGCCTTTTTGAGCTCTATGAAATCCAGATTACAGTGTAACCTTCCCGCCCATCTTTACTATCTATAAAACTACCAATAGATGTGGTTGGCTTCTGGAATTTTCACTAGACTAAAATACCCCATTCCTAAGGTATGGATTAGAGAAGGAGCAATGGTAAATATGTAATTTTGTTTTGTCATATAATGTTTATGATTAGGAAATGACTCTTCTTATTTCTCATTTAATGTTTATTATTAAAAAGACATAAAACTCCATTCTTTTTGTTCATAAATGTAAAACAAGTCAATAGCAAAAATGTTATTTAGCATTCCTATTTAACACTTGTTATGGAAAATACACAAAAGTCCCTCTTTTATTCAATAATTGAAAAACAAACCATGATAATTGCTGAAACCTCCCTTGAAATTTTTTACCAATAACCAAACCTCCTCTAAACTTCTTGACACAGTTGAAAGTAGACCATCTTTGTAAAATCCTCTAATCAAGAAGCATGAAAATGTTCAAAATACCTATATAATTATTGTTGAGGCTTATTTATATATGCAAAGTAATATAAATGTTATGAACAACAAAAGAACAGAGTTTAAAGTTGCAATTTTACCATTGAGCAATTGATATAAAGGAAAATTTTGGAAAATACATCAATTCCAAAAGGGAGATTATAAGGAATTGGGGTAGTGATTGACATGAAGAAAAAAAATTGGAAAATAAACATTTTGGTCAAAAATAACTACATGGATATTTTGGACATTTTTGTGCTTTTTGTTAAAAAGATTCTAACAAAGGGTCTACTTGCAATTGTGTCAAAAAGTTATGGGAAGTGATTGCATTTACCAAACTTTCGGGAGATTCAACAATGATAAAAAAAATTTATACGTGAGGTTTTACCAATTTACACTTTCATTTATTTAAATTAAAAAGAACCATAAAGTACATCTTTTGTTCTCAATAGCCAATGTTGGGCCACATTAACCATCATGAACAGATTTCCAATTTTCAAATGGATGAGAAATTTATTCTTTAAACTATTTTCTTGTTTTTTTAAATATTTTTAACTTATTTTTATTGGTTCAGTTCTTATTCATTAAGGTAAGAGATGGTTTTATTTTCTTTATTCCCACCATTTAGTGGGTTAATTTTTACATCTATGTTACCTTAAAACCCACACCATTGGATGGCAAAATATCTGCAAGAGTAAGTGATATTTTTTATAGTAGTTTATTATAAGGTTTTCAAAGGTTGAAGGAACTGAAGTTGGATTTAGCATATAGAAGTTAATTCTTGCAATGGTAACGAGAATTCAAATAAAATTCTAACAAATGTAACTGATAAAAAATATTAATTTTATTAATTTTTTAGTTTTATTAATGAACCATAATAGATAAGAATAATAAGAATTTTATTAATTCTCATTACCTTTACAAGAATTTTATTTGGACATATCTTTATATTAAAGAACCATAATAAATGTGATAAATAAGAATAATTTTTATAGATGTAGAAATATAAAAAAGTTGCAAAAATTAGGAAATATATTATATACTATCATCATCACAATATTTGTCACATGCAAATCACGTATGCAAACACTAGTACATGAATATTCCCTATTCATTCCTTTCCTCTCATCCAAACCCTCTTCTCTCTTAATAACTCCACCCCCATTTAAAGAACTCTGGAATACATGGGCGATCAAGATAGAGACCATTTCTCATATATAGAGCTATAAATCGGGTCATGCCGTTCACGGCCTGACAATAAATTGAGTTGGCCCGACATGACAATATGCAAACCTTACTGGGCACGGCACGATGGAATGGGCCATGTCGGGCATGGGGTTTTAGGTCCATGGGTCGGCACGGCAAAATTGAGCAGGTTGTGCCACCTATGGCCCGTGTGTTGAAATCAGACAAGACGCTCATAAGCTTTGCAACCATCAAGATAAAGATGGCTCAGCAAGATAATCAAAATGGGAGTCTAGAGGTTAAAGAGCATGCTCTTAAGTTTCAAAAGATTGACTAAAATGGCATTTCTGAAGTTTCTCATGACATCCCTCTTTTGAGGGTGAAGTGGCTATCAGAAAAGCTGTTTTGCCTTYAAGGGCATCGCCTCTCTCAACAAGTTATGATCTTTCTAGGTAACAAAATGGCTTCCTTTTGGAATCATTTACTGTAATCCTTAATGGTCGTGAAACTGTTGTCTAATGGGTGTGTCATTTCCTGTAATCTCTCATCGTTTTAGTTTGGCAGAGACTAAAGTCCCAAAGAAATGGAAAGCCTTGGTCCTGATTGATCTGAGCATCAGCATACCCGAAGGGACAGGGGTTCTAAGTTTCTAGCTCATTCCATTGGTTCGATTTTCGAAAAATGACCGCAATTTTATGTGTGTAGAATTACGATTGGGTATGGCATGGAAACATTCAATTGATGTGGAGGATGCCGATTACAGAGCTCCTGTTGGGGTGATTCTTTTCAACCATTCTGATTTCACTTTTCAAGTAAAGGCTGGTGATCGGATTGCCTAGTTAATCATTCAAAAGATAATGACACCAGAATTTTTGGAGGTTGAAGATTTGGATTCAACTACAAGGGATTGGGGAATTTGGGTGTACAAGTGTTTGATCTATTGCTTTTGTTTGTTCTTAAATGGGGTGTTCTGTTGTATATTCTCTCAATTTTTGCTCTTCTGAGATTCATTGGAGAATTAGGGCGAATAGGTATTGTGCTATATCGTACGTGACTCGAGGTGAACATGGTGTCTTGCTGGTGGTAATGGATGTTAGTTTGCTGCCTGATGAATGGGGGGAGAGAGGGGGAGGAGAGAACGAGCGTCTCATTTTGCTTAATTAATGACATGAAGCATCCTCGCATGCTTCAACCGTTTACACGATTTGGCGCATCCTCCAAATGAGCAAACGATGCCCTGACTGAGGGTGCCTAGACTGAAGCCAAACTCGTTTGAGAGGACAACATAGAGATAATTTGTTCTCCCTCAACATGTGGCTTGTCACTTGGTCATTGGATTTTCCAACATGTTGAAGATTAAAAATGAGGCCTATGGCCACTCTTCGAAAACCATCTATCTTCAAAAGCACTTTCTTCCCTTGTTTCCTCTAGCATCTTCCTCAAACCAACTAAAAGCTACTCTTGCAAAGCCTTCACACCCCCAAAAAAAAAAGCTAAGTGACTTTGCCACTTCGACATTTCTCTCCATGCACTTGTCTATCAACTTGGAGAACTTTGGATTTTCTACTATAAATGGAACCAGCCCTTGAGCTCTCGAGTCTACAACTGGTGGAAGACTAGGTGTCTCTACTTCCCTTCCTCTCCTGCCTTGCGACTTTGGTACAATTGCTTCTAATTCGTTTCTTTCTAGAACTGGAGAAGAGTTTACCAATTGGTCAGGTTCCACACTTTTTTCCAACTCCACTGTGTACCAAACTTTGTTCTTTGAGTACCTCTTATAAAACACCTTCTCTTAAGTCCTTTTTCCACTCTTTTGTTCAAACTCCTAAGATTTCTTGAGTCCTCACTACCACATTTTTTCCTTATTAGCCCATCTATGCAGATCTCACCTTGACTCGGGTCCATGGTGTCACTAACTTCACTTGAACCCGAATAATAATGGGTTTGAATTTAGTAGACACAATATAGTAAACACGTTGAATGAGCATTACTTAATAAAAATTCTAAGAACTATCAAAAGTGGTTTTAATCTTTTTTAAGAGTACCCAGGGGATATTTTAAGGGATAGGTGTCAAAAAATTTTCTAAGTACTCATTGAATGTGCTTACAACATTGTAAGGACTAGATAACAAGATACCAATTGAAAAACCTCGTATGTTTGCATCGTCGGTTCTTGGTGCTGTAGGGAAACTTTTACAAATCTTGTATAGGTTTCCTTACATTTCCCTTCCTTTCCCTTCAAGTCAAGCATAGCCTTAAAGCTTCTTTTCCTTCCCTAGAAATTGATCTTGAAGGGGACATGTTTATAAAATTACATATCCTCCACCAAAGCTGCCCTCAATTGAACTAGCTCTCCATCCATTGTCACCAATTTGTAGCTACAAAAGCCAGAGTCAAATATGGAGTCAAGGCCTTGAACCACTACTCCAAAGTATTCTAGAAGCCCCTTTTAGAAATCTTCCTTTATTTCAGGTTGGGTTCCATTGTTGGACATCAACTTCTGGCCGTTTACTCTAAATGCGATTTTCTCTAAGATTTTTAGTGCCTCCATCTTTGAAGTTAGAATGAACAAAATGGTTACCAGCAAGCTTCCTTACTGCAAACTCAGATCCCATAAAACTATTCCTAACTAACCAACTCTGTAACTTGGAGCAACTAGGATGAACTTCCTCAATCTCTTCTACTAGACATTTGCATCGATTGCACTCTATATCTCTAACCCCTAAACCTTTAATGAACACCCTCAAGCATGCAACTAAAACACAGACCTTCACTTACCCTTTCTCTAAAAAGCCCAGAGCCGCCATCTTATCCAAAACCATTCAAGAACGTTTTAGGGTAGTTAAAGATTAAGATTTGAGGAAATGAATTTCCTTGTATACCCCCGAAACTTATAATATATTACAATTCCACAAAGTAAATTTGAAAACTGTGTGTGATATTTTAGACATTTGGTTTATTATATTTTGTGCATAACATATATAAATGTATTTACTAGTCATTAATCAGAGCCAGATTTGTATTGGATCTAATGGGGGTGCATCCAAATTTGATATGATTTTTAATTAGATTCTACTAACCCCATCTGACTAGAGAGTGTGTCATTGCACTTTGCAGTCAGGGAGAGTGTGTCATTGCACTTTGATCATTATGGGATGAGAGTAAAGAGTTCTTTTCATCTAGAAGATGATCAAATCTCACAGTGAGCAAAGAGTAAAGAGTTCTTTCCAAAAAAGAGTTATCTCCAATAGCATCTTCTTCAAACATTTTATTTAAGTCTTGATAACGAGTTCTTATTTCTCACAATGAGTAAAGAGTAAAGATGATTACTGTTTGGTCCCTTTCAAAAAAATAAAATAAAATAAACTAACAACTATAATGGCTGAAACAATAGTCTAGAATTACATTTGGATGTCCACCTTCCAATAACTGAGTGGGTCTAGAATTACATTTGGAAGTCCACCTTCCAATAACTAATTGGGTCTCTACATAAATGATAATGTGCACAAAAACAAGTTTTATGAAACCTGAATATGCTATCGAGTAGGGAAGATTATTAAAATGGACCTTTGACCCAAATGGATGTAGCCCATATAAACAATGATAATCATGTATTTCCTTTTATTAACCCATGGCATAAAGCATTATATGTCCCACCACTAGGGTTGTCAATGGACTGGGTTTGGGTTGGACCCGTCTAAGTCAAAGTCAATTTGAAGGGGTTGGATGGTCCAATAAGACATATTAAATTGGATCAATTCTGACTTAATGGTCCAAAGTATTTATTGGATTGGAATGGACTTGGTCCATCTATAATGGAATTATATTGGAGTTGATCCAAAGTATCAATCTCTTGCTACAAGGTTTTAAGAGTTGAAAAATAAACTACAATAGGTTTATGTCCACGCCTTGTGCTAATCACCTAGCTTCTCAATTGGTAAGCCCTAGCAAAATTCTCACTTTGTGAACAAGTCTCTATAACTCCATCCCATATTTTCTTAGCAATGTTAGCCCATAGAAAATTCTTGCTTATATGAAATAACATAAGATTACAAAATCAGGTCATTATCAAGTAGTTCTCTTATACCTACCAAGAATAATTGGTCTTAAGTTTCTTCTTTTCACCAATTACATAGCTCAAATTTCTACAAGCACTAATTTCCATCTTGGTTGATTATGACCGCACCATCCAACTTAATTGTAGTGATGGTATTTACTCCAAAATAATCACTAGCACTGCCTACACCTAATCCCAAGTCATCAATAGATTTATGCTCTACTCCACTACCTTCTATAGTTCCTAGCTAGAAGAGCTTAAAACCTCAACTACGAACAAGAAAAAACCTCTAGAAATAGATCGATCCCCTTTGGAAACCTAAAAAAATTAATAACGAAAAACCTTTACCTACAGATTTCTATCCTATTAGGGGCTGGTAAAACAAAGAGAAAATGTTGCCACTCTCTAGACACCTTAGAAAATTCTAGAAATTATTGTCCCCTTTAGAAAACTTCAAGGAAACCAAAAAAAAAAAAGAACTTGGGTGCCTCTTTCTAAACAAAGAATCCTACTATAATTAGGATTCTTCCTCCGATTCTTCTTGATTTCAATGATCAATTTGAGATTAGACTAGAGCAAGTCTTCTAGAACATTATACCTTCTACACTCTACTAGGGAATTCCCATTCTATAAGGTACAAGAACACTCTAGAGCAAATCTAAATTACTCCAAACCACTCTAGGGAATTCCACACAAATCCAAATTGTTCCACAAGTTTCCAAACGGTTCCATTAGCCCCTTCTAGACACACATGGAAAACACTCCAAAACACATTAGCATCTGGATTCTTTCTCCTCTAGTTCTTCTAGAAAATTCTACCTTTTACATTTTTCTAGGGGATGCCCATTCTATAAGGTATAAGAACACTCTAGAGTAAGTCTAAATTACTCTAAACTACTCTATGGCATTTCACACAAATCCATATTGTTCCGCAATGTTCTAGAAGGTTCTACTAGCATCTTGCCCCTTCTGGACAAATGGAGGATACTCTAGAATGCTCCAAAAAAGCTTAGTAGCATGCAGAGAGTTGGCTAGAATCCTTGGGAAGCATCTAGAAGACCTCTAACCAAGTGCCCCATTATGCCACCCCATGGCATCCTACTATGTTACAGTGTCACAACATTCGTGCCACCTGCTTGTCTACCAAATCATGCATTCTAAGTTGAAGGGCATTAAAATACATGTTCATTTTGTCTAGGATTAGGTCACCTAGAAGGATCTTCTTGTATAGTGCATCTCCACATATATGTTCACATCATGTTGCTTTCCCTTGTTTAACTAAAGGGGGATGTTATCCATGACGTGATGTGCCCATGCATGTCTTTATCTCTTTTTATAGCTTCACTTGGTGTATAATTATCTTACTCTTTGCTTAACATAAACAGATAAGTTTGTGTAAATATCATACATTGTAAAACCCTCAATGTAAAAACAACATTTACTTTGACTCCTCATTGATATTTAGAGAGTCCTCACTCTATTACTTTGATAAGAATCTTTAGAAGAAAACTCAAGGTTACATGTAGGTACCTCTCATAAAGGGATGTTATTTTGTTTGTTGAAAAGGAGGGTGTTGCTAAGTCTTGAGGGATTGCTCCCTCTAGGATTAATCAAGTAGTTAGTTTTTGGAAGAGAGGAAGGTATTTCACTTGAGATCAATCCTAGCTTTGAGACACTGATAAAACTCATATTAGATGTTCGTATATGTTTAGATCAGAAGAAAGAGAAGGAAAAGAGAGAGAGAAGGAGAAGGAGAAAGAGAAGAAAAAGAAGGAGAAAAAT